AGAAACTGTATATATATATATATATATATATATTGGGTAGTTGTCAAAATGATGGTCCCTTTTGGGGTACCCCAAATAATAGGTGCCGTATTATAATAAGGACCCAAAAGGGACCAGAATTTTGACAACCACCCATATATATATATATGTATATTGAGACAGAGAGAGAGAGAGAGAGAGAGAGAGCGAGAATCCAGATAAGGAGCCCCAACAAGGTAGGGTTTTTCCGCTACAGCTAGGGCTAAGGGCTTTTAGGGTTCAGAGTTTCAGGGTTCAGCTGTCTTGTCAAGACCACTGCATGACAACCAGGAGTATACTGCAAGTAAAACTCATCTGTTCATGACGATGGCCCTTACGCTTATGAGAACTACTACTGTGACTGCAACCCTAAGCCCCAAAAACCCTGAACCAAAACCCAAAACCCCTTCAACCCGAACCCTCAACACGATGCAACAGGTGAAGGATGTCATTGCCATTCCTCTTCAGCTTGTGAACGTGAATCTTCAGGCTGGATACTGCGGGCCCAGGAGGGGGATGCTAATGTAGGGGCCTGAATAATTAGAATAGGGCTTCGGGGTACATTATATACTATAATGAGAATAAGGAGCCCCCCAAAATAGAAAAGGTAATTATTAAGGCCCCTGCAGTAAACCCCTGGTCCTAAATCCTGAACCCTAATATAGGGTGCCTATAATTCGAGTCGGGCTCCTTGGGAGGATTCCTTTCAGGGCTAAAGGTAAAGGTTTAGGGTTTAGGGTTCAGGGTTTTGGGGCCTTGACAACTACAATTGTGTGCAGGGGAGCATAGCATACTGGAACCTAGGAGCCCTCAAAGGTAATGCAGGTAGGTACTACGTAACCCTAACCTAAACCCTAAGTACTCAGCTTCTACGGTTCTACGTAGAAGGGTCTGCAAGGGGTCTTTGTTCATTTTCGTCGCGTCTAGGGCTTGCGGCTAAGATATCACCGGGCCACCAGTCACTTTATGGTTCTGGTTGTTCAGGGTTTAGGGCTTAGGGTTATAAGTTATGACCTAGACAAATGCTCACACTCCCACAGAATCCCATACCATTAATGAAAAAACATCTCACCAAGTCGTTGGTGTAGCATCAGCGACCCTAGCATCATTTAGCAGAATGCACGGTATTCGACACTACCTACATACGTAACTTGCCAGGTTCAAGCTTGGCCATAAAGCAGACCGAACCGACAACTTGTCGAGTTCCGGCTTGCCCACAAAAGGGTTGAACCGAAAGCTTGTTCGGCTGAAGCTGCACTACACCTTCGATCCCAAACCCTGAACCCTAAAACCTAAACCCATATAGGGGCCTCATGTAATTTATCATAGAATTAGATGAGGGTTCCTTGAGGGAACAACGGTTGCACCGAGCGAGATCCGGCCTGGACAAGGCCCAAAAACTACCCCGAACCCCGGGGCCGAGCCTTTACCAGCACCCCCCAACTAGCCTGGTTTAGGGTTTAGGGTTTAGGGTTTAGTATACCCTAAATACCCACTATTAAGGACCATAAGGGCTCTATAAACGGGTACTTGGGGGCTGCTGGTATGGTTTAGGGTTTAGGCTGGGGGCCAGGCTTTGCCGACGTCCACCATTCGCGTTTAAATTGTGAGGAGAAAAGGGAGGTTTAGGGCCGGGTATAGGATGTAGGGTGTTTTATTATGTTGTTGCGAGAAAGAGAGGTTTAGGGATTAGGGTTAAGCTTTTGGAGTTTTACGGCAGCCTAACAGCCAAGTTACCTACATCGCATGGCAGCTGGCTATTCAGCCATAGTATAATGGGCGTTTACGCTGGAGGAGTGTAAGGCATAAGTTTAGGGCTTACGGTGGGGGATGGGGCATATGTCGCCGCAATATGCAACGCTCCACGCCTCAAGCCCCAACAAACCTTATCCGAAAACCTTGCATCCACCCCCAAGCCTCAAAATTCCGAACTCCAACCCCTGCACGAAGCCCCCTACCTCACAGATGCCGGTTGCCCTGTAAATCCCTTACTGTTACCCGTATACAAACCCCTTACCCCTACACCCTATACCCTGTTGCCCCAGACCATATACCCCTTACCCCAGACCCTTTGCCTTGGTCCTACACTCTAAGCGACACACCCTAAACCACCTATACCCTAAATGCCATACCCCAAACCCTCCCCAAATCCTGAACCCTTAAGCTTGAATCAACCTGAACCCTAAACCCTAAACCCTTAAGCCCCAAGCGCTCTCAACCTGAGCCCCGGAACGAGCAAGGTTTTCACGACCTACAACGTCGTCAATGCTCTGGCCCTGGAGCTCTGCCTCAAAGAATTGCGGTTTAGGGTTCAGGGTTTGAGCGTTTAGGGTTCAGTATTTAGGGTTTAGGGTGTCCAAGGTTTCGGGTTGAGCCCGGAAGCCAAATTCACTTAAGTCTGTGATGTTCGGAGCCTAGTGTCCTTGGGGCTCTCTATTCTGATTACAGCATACATACATGCATGGGCATATAGGTTACAATTGTTATGTGTGTATATATTATACCTACCTACCTACCTACCTACCTACCTACCTACCTACCTACCTACCTACCTACCTACCCACCTGCCTGCCTGCCTGCCTGCCTGCCTGCCTGCCTGCCTGCCTGCCTGCCTGCCTGCCTGCCTACCT